ACAGAAAACTTTTTCCAATAGGTTTGATGCCCGCTAAAACGCCAGAAAGTCGTAATAATTTTTTTTCTGAAAATAAGAAGACTCAGTATTTTGGGTAATGCAGCGGCATATATAATTTATATATACATTCTGTTTTTTGATTGCAGTAATATTTTTCATGCTCTTTCATTACAAATTCGAAAATTTTTGAAAACTAAAGACTCGGTTTTTGCAAAACCATAATTTTTTTTTTTTTTTTTTTGGTTGCTTAGTAAAAATATCGTAATCGTACGCAAAAGCGAACAGGAGTCAAAATACGTGTTTACTTTAAAAAAAATTTAAAGTTAAGAAAAATTATTATTTTGAGAAAATCGAGTTTTTTTTTTTTTGTTCTAAAAGATTTCAAACCGAAATTTTATTTGGTGTAGCAATAATTAGTATTTAAATTTCAAAGTCACCTTTCACACTAGCAGGGGAAATATTTGTTTTTTTTTTACAAAACAGCTTAATATACTTAATTAAATTTTATCTGTGGTATTAGATATAACAAAATAAGCACATTCACCTTTTACCAAAAACTTTTGAACAAAACAAAAAGTATTAAAACTCATGCATAGCATACGTCATTATTTGTATGTCCGTCACGAAAACAAGGGCCCAACTGTGAGGGGCATGAATCACAGCTTTACAATATATGTTTACAAAAAAAAAACAATGTTAAGTAGTACTTACCAGTACACTGTGCTTCAAAATTGTTTAGACTGAATTAATTTTAATAATACACATATCAATATACATACGTACATACTCACATACATATTTACAGACATACTTTACGAACATCAGGTTCGTCTGATAAAAACAATGTATGTACGTGAATATTTCGCATTTAATTGAATATAAAAACTTGATATTCAGTAAAAAAAAATCCCAATGATTATTAACATGTATATAGTACCTACATACGTACATTAGAGTGGTCCAAAAAAACTTAATGTCGGAATATTATTGCTCTCACCCCCCAGGATTGTTCTATACCAAAAAAATATACTCGTATTTTTTTATTTTTAAATCAAAAAAATATTTATAAGTCGCTCAACACGCTCAAATATTTCCATGTATTTTATATGGGGGAAAAAACAATTTTTCGTATGAATGGTGTAGAATTCTTGAAAATCCATATTTTTCGATCGGAAAACTCTTTTTATCTTCAAGAGACTTCCAATAATAATACCCAATAGTTTACCTAACCATTTTTTAATGTTAACTATATGTTTTTATAGGTCCCCCAAAAAATTCCAAAAAATGCAATGAGGCACCCTTAAAATTGTTAGTATTAAAAAATGGTAAAATTAACTATTGGAATTCTACTGAAGAATTTCCGGGTTATATTTTTTCGATATAGAATAGTTAGTCCCAGGGGGTGAGAGCATTAAAATTTTGACTTTATTTTTTCCACATGAATTTTTCGACCAACCTAATGCATGTACATACTACATACATTTTGTATATACATACATACTATAGGTCTGTACGCGTTTCTTATGGATTATTGTCATTCGTTTGCTATTTATAAATATCGCGCACATTAGCACAGCACACAAAATATCAAAGGCGAGACATTCGAGTAAGTAATTAAAAGTTGTCAAACCAGTTCATAACAATTTTTCACGTAAAGCAAACAAAAATGTATAACTAAAAGTAAACAGAGAAATAAGAGAAATGCAACTGCCTAAGTATGTATGTATGTACATTTTATAAACAAAAAAGTTAGCCACACACGCAAATAAGCAATTTTCTACAAAATTTCCTGCCGAGATTGTTTAAAATCCAGCAAAAGTTCACATAAATTTCCTATGTTTAAACAGCGACAGATTTTGAGAACAAAGAACAGGAACACTCTTCCCCATTTTCATAATGAATATGCAGGGCTTGTAAGATTGAGATAACGGTGCAAACTGTGCAGCAAACAACTATCTTCGGGAAGATGTCTAATAGGGCAATTCTGGCCACTGTCTTTCAACTCACCATATCTTTCGTAAGAAAATTTTCAGATCTGGCAACTATTTTGAAAGCTGTTTTCTGTTTTTCGAAAGACTAATTGAAAGATTGGCTAATGGGGAGCGCTTAGCGTTATTCTGTTTGTGTTTTAGCAATAAGTTTTCTAAAAATGAAAAGAAATTAAAAAGTATATATTTTTCATTTCAAAACAATAAAATTTAAAAAAAAAATTATTTAAAAAAAGAAAAAATTATAAAATAAGTTTCTAAAAATTAAACGATATTTAAAAAATTATGTTTCTTTCTAAAACGATAAAATTTAATTAAAATGATAAAAATAATAACTTAAAAAAGGAAAATATTAGCACAGTAGAGAAGCGACTGGCGTGCTCTTTTGGACTCGGCCAAAATCGCTAGGGCGGTTACAGCGCCATAAATAAGAAGAAGAAAATGCAAAATTTCTTGAGTCTAGGGGTGGGCAGCTACCCCACTTGCCCCCTCCCCCTGTAAACGCCCATGCTTGTTAACTTAATAAGAACATATTTATATATGTACTAGGGTGTTCGGTTATTCGCCTTTTTTCCTAAAACCGGTTTTCGAGTTAATCGACAAATTGCAATGTGAAATAAACCGGTTAAACCGCTTTTATTTTACATAAGTAGTTTTCATACAGTGAAAATGCTTATTTGGGTATGAAGTCATGAACAAAAGTTACAATAAAACTATTAACACTAAAGACAGCCTTTATTTAGAAAAGAGCATAGCGAAATAAGTACATATACATACATAGCTTTTTATTTATTTTTATTAAAAGTAAAACAAATGAAAGTCAGTGAGAAATTAACGATGGGTTTCGTTTTAAAATTTTTTAAATACCTTATTGCATTTTTCTGACTTTTTTCCGCCTACGGATGTCCATGATTCAATGTCTTGTCACAGCAAAATACATTTTTTTTTCGCATATAGCGGTTGTCCTTCGGCAGACAATAGCAAAGTTCCCAGCGTACTTCTGCCATAAAAAAGCTTCTTCGGAGGCGGAGTAAAAGTGTAGATCCCTCTATTTGTGTCGCAACATCAAGAAGCAGAGCACGAATTGGAGGAGAAGCTCGGCCAAATACGTAGAAAACGTTTAAGCGCTAAACATTCATTTATTGGAATCAAGTACATAGATATATGTATTTTCCATAGCCAAATAACCTAGGGGTTTCCCTTAAACTGGGAAAAGTCTTGAAAACTTCGAAAAACCCAAAACTTTGATTGAGTAGTCAAGATTTGTGTGAAATGAAAAACCCGGTTTGTTCTATAAAAAAACCGAATTATTCGATATTGGTTGGAAACCGGTTTGGTAAAATCGAGTCAATCACCCTAATATGTACACTTACATACATATTTTGCGATCTGCTCTAATCCAGTTTGCCCACAAATGATGTGAATCAAAAATTTATGAAAATGGAATTCCAGTGACATGGAAAAAATATGAATGTTTTATATATGTATATTAGACTGCATCACTCCCCTTACAAAAAAAAAAATCGGTACTGTGTTTCCATTGGAATTATAAAATCTATTATATTTCAAGACGTCCACCAAAATATTTCGGAAAAATATTAAGATTTACGTGAGCTGGACCGATTTGAAAATACCTCCAAAAATGGAGTTATTTATGAATCAAAATAGTTCCTTAAAGAATTTTTTTGAAAAAATCCCCTCAAATGACAAAACAGACTAAGCTTAAAAAATCTGCATAAAAATATTAAAAAAAAAAAATGTTAAAAAATTTTGAACGGGGTATCTTTGGAAAGGTATTTTCTCACCCTTTTTATTTCTTTGCTAATAAGCTCATTCAAAGGATGAAAGAGAAAGGTAGGATGAACGAACGTCATTCAAAGTTGAATTAAGATGTTTTGGTATTTGAAAAAAAAAAAAATATTGGGACACGAATGACTTTTTTTTTTGGACAGAAATAAAAATAGTGGGAGAATACCTTTCTACTGAGATTCCATAAGTCTAAATCAGAATAGTTTTGGCCCAGTTATTCAAGTTTTTCGTAAACCAATCTTTGAAAAAAGTAAAACAACAGCATCAAATATCTCATTATTACAATTCCGTTGAAAAGATTTTAAAATATTTTTATGCAGATTTTTTAAGCTTAATCTGTTTTGTCATCTGAGGGGACTTTTCTCAAAAAGTTCTTTAAGAAACTGTTTTTGTTCAAATCGGTCCAACTCACGTAAATCTTAATATTTTTCCGAAATATTTTGGTGGACGTCTTAAAATATAATAAGTTTTGTAATTCCGGGCGGAAAAACCGCAACCTTTTTTTTGGTGTTGCAGTCTATCTTTTTTATAACTCCGCTACAAATGATGTGTCATGCTTAACGAAATGAATCCGCATAAATTCATAAGTATATAAAAACTTATACATATTAATTTGTAGGTATGTATGTATGTACATATATTTATTGTTTTTTCTCACTACCATTTCATTGTCATATATACATATGTTGTATATGTATATTTACTATGTTTACTCACCAACAAAAAAAAAGGTAAACTTTAACGCTCTTCATTTAAGTATTTATTGAATGAGAGTAAAAGTCTCAGAGCGCTTTTTCCAGCCCTTAGTATACACCTAACTGCACGAATATTTATATTTCACCGGCTCCCATTTGGGCTTTATCGCTCCTGACTCGCTAAGTCCAAATGCTTATCTGTGGAATTTTGACGACTCTAATTGGTGATAAGAATGCCTGACAAAATCAGACGATCGTCCAAGCGACGAGTGAATTTAGCAAACTAGCAAATTTGCAGTCTATATTGTGGGTGGCAAACGAATTGACGCGTTATGCGCCATCTAAATACTTAAAGCGCTAAATATACTAAATACATAAATATTTAATAAGCATATATATACATATTTTACATACTTATTAAGTATTTACTTAAGAAAATTTCTACTTAAAAAGTGTTGCATTATTAATACAGTGTTTTTCCTTTTGTTATCGTTCATTAATTTTCTAGTGCAAATACAATTAGTAAACGTAATCCGCGCAAGAGACAAACAGAAAAAGAACCGAGACCGTTAAGTAAATACTTAGCTTTTGTGAAGTGCGGTTGCACGCAGCAACTTGCCGCGTGGTAAAACAAATTTGACCATTTGCGTCGCGTATTAGAGTGGGTGTAGAAAAAGACCCACATACATACATATTTGTACAATCATCACACAACAGTCTACACATCTAGCGCCAACAGCAACAAAAAAAAAAAGCATCAAAGATGACCTCTTCGCTGTGTCACTTCCTTTGGCGATTGAGTGTCGTAGCGCTAGGCGCACTCTTCTTCGTCGGCGGCGTTTATATGTTCGCAAATTGGATTGATATATTTACGCGCATGCGTGGTGAGGTGAGTCAATAGTCATTAAGATTAAAAAATAAATAAAATAAAGTTAAAAAGCGTGGCTTATACCCTATTTCCACCAAAAGCTTAACTGCAGTTCAAAGCTCAGGTAGGTTCCACGAATTTTAATAAGAGGTGATCGGCAATGTTTATTGTTAGATACTTTTTGGTGTTTTTCTTTCGTTTGCCTGGCGTGTGCAAGTACACCTTCTGAGTTGTAAGCGCCTTTTTCCAATAGCCATAAACTGCAGTTAAGGCTTGGTGGAAATAAAGTATTAGATTACTAATATTTACTATGAAACTGGGTTAATATTCTGCATCTGTCGCTTACTTAAATATGTGCGCTTAATGTAAAATTCTTGGAAAGTAAGCAATCAGTAAGTAGAATTCTGTGTAGTTATCGCCTTTTTTTTTGCGTGAAAATTTGAACACCTGCACATTTATCACAAAGCATTTGATTACTTATCAGCAAAGTGGCACACCTGCGCCAACCCGGGTAGTGCCGTGCATTTTAGAAATGGCCAAGCATTGCGAAAGTGGTCTACCTATCAGCAAAGAAAACAACACAGAACCATTATTAGTAATTTGGAAAATTATGTTAGAGCAAAAACAAAAAACAAAAAATACGCGTGTGTACTTCTTAATCTGACTGATAAATTTGGCATCTGATTATCAGAAGTTTGTAAATATTTAATTGTAGTGATGATGCATGTAAAAGTATCTAACTAAAACTCGATTTGTTTAACCCTTTGATGACTCAGCTAAACTTGTTACCTTAATATAGAAAGATTTTTCAGCTGAAGAGCTTCGATTTTTATGACGTTTTTCTGTAGACAAACAAACATTTTAGAAAGGGCCGTTCTTTATTAGGGGCTGTCTCAAGAAAAACGAAAACTTCATATAAAGTGACGTATAAGAAATGAAAAATAAATTTTTTCCTATAAAAATTTCTTAAATCTGTATTCAGCCTAGAAGAAATAAATATATATGGATTAGTATAGTAAAACTGCGTTATTAGTTAAAATCGAACGAAAATTTAAAAACACTCGAAATAATGAATATTCCCTTAAAACTAGGGGTCAAATATAGTAAAAATACGTTTTAGGTTTTTCTTTCTGGCGTCAGGATTTTTTTATAAAGACTTTTGAAATTTCAAATATTTGAATAGTTCCAAAAATTTTTTGAAAAATTTTGCGCTATATAGAATAACATTATGGCTACCCAATAGAAGATAAAATCCTTTACAATTGAAAAATATTGAAAATTACCTTTTAAAATATTATCCTTGAGTATCCTTGCAAATTTTCAGTATTTATTTTTGAAAAAATTGTTGGTTAAGGATTAATTTACACATGTCCGTATCCTCGAATTTCGTCCTTCTACTTTATTGTGAACCAAAAAAATTCTATATTTTTAAATTCGAATGAATATTTTCTTGCAATTGGTACCCATATTTTTATTCTAAATAGCACTAAATTTTTTAAATAAGTTTTGGAACTAATCATATCTTTGAAACCTTCGAGTCCTTTAAAAAAATCCTGACGCCATATAGAAAAACTTAAAATGCATTTTTATTATTTCAAAGGTTTTGAAATTTTTTTGAATTTTTTGGAGCCACGTAGATAGTTCTATGAACACGAGATCAGAATGTTACTCATACACCATTTACGTACATTCGATTTTAACTTTCCCGTGATAAATGGATCCGAAATTTTGTATTTTTAAAATCTGCTGAATATGGAATTCGCAATCAGCGACCGCAAACTGCGACCTCGAGTAACAAATTTCAAGCCATGCTTCATTTTTCAATTCGAAAATCGGACCTTAGATTCGTAATCAGCAATCCCAAAAACATTAAAACATGTCTTGACCCAACATTTATGCATCAGTTTTATGGAGCGGTCATTAGAAACTTTTAAAATCTGACAACGGATTTTAGTACAGCAGCCCCTAGAAACCGCGAGTGTCAAGTTTCGAGCGAAAATGTTGAATTTTAAAATAATCGTTCGAAGCCGACCACGAGGAGATTACAGTATGCATAAAGCCTTAACTATTTTTGTTTTATTTAAAAAAATATTTTTTTTTATATTTATTTTTTTATATTCTTTCTTCTAAGTTTTTTAACTATTTTTAAGTGGGAAAAAAAAACTGATTGATAGCACAAGGCAACACTGATTTTGGTGCGGCAAATGTTAAAGCTGTTTTTGATAGACTTTCTGGTGCTGATTAAGAATCCCTAGGTATAAAGTTTCCATCTGGTCCAGATTTTGAGAAAAACGAGGTCAAAGTGCCAAAAAATCGCGTTGTTTTTCCAATTTTGGTTCCATTGGACCACAACGGCAACGCTGATCATAAATGGAAACAGATCTCTATGAGGTGCACATCATTGTTGATGTATTTGCGTGCAAATTTTTTAGTCCTTTGAACTTCGGACTAAAACCTGTGGAACTGTCAAACTACAATTTTACTCTCTCAAATGCGAGTAGAAGGAGAACAGATGCAGAAGTGCATAGGAACGCAAAAAGCACTATTTCTTGTAAAAATTTCAGTCGGTTTGTTTACATTTAATTTGTACAACACTTATTTGGCTGAAATATCACTAACTAATTATTAAAATTTATACATGTTCAAATATTTCGTTGTTTACTACCATTTTTGTACGAACATAAGGTTCTTTGCTTACACCGCTTTCTGTTTTTGTTTGCACATGCAAATCAGCTGATCGTTTAACACTTTTCATGAACTTACAGGAAAAAAAACTCCGGACTAAATCCTGTAACTTCTGACTATGAACAGTTGCACAGTTACTCTCTCAAAAGTGTTCCCACTTACAGGTTTTATGTCAATAGGAACGACTTCCTGTAAGTTCTGACTTTCGTTCGAAAAAAAATCGATAACAATTAATGACATTATGGATAAATATATTTATCGATAATAACACCCTGAAAACTATTGATAGTTGATATCAGCCAATGTATCGACAACTATGTATGCATACATATGTATGTACATTAGGCTGGGTATTTCCTGATTGTGCAGATAATCCTAAGAGAAAGTATAGACACAAAACAGGTGTATTTACTTTCTAAAATGGTTTAAACAAAAAAAGCAAATGTAAGAGATCTAAATACAGATATTTTATATGCAAAAGTTTTAAGAAAAGGTGAAAAAAACTAATATCGTGAAATGTAATTTTTAATTTAAAAATGCGCAGGCTAGAAACTCATTTCCGACTTATAGTGTACTGTACATTTTCTCTTAGAATTATCTATAAAAACATAAAATACTATGCGATTCGTCGAAAAACTTTCATCCGAACAATTTGACCCACCCTAATGTGCACACATTACAATTTTACAAACATTTTGAATTATTTATCTCTGGCATTATCGAATCACGTTTTTGTAATTAAATTAAAAAAACTGTCTTCAAATAAAAAAATAATTAACTTAATTTGTATCTATAAAACTGCAAACTTAACTATGCAGGTACATATGTATAGTACATGTGTATCTACGTATAAAAAGAGGGGTGAAGGTTACATTTTGCAATAAAATTAGCAACTATAAAAGTAATTAGGAAGTAAATTTAAACATTAAACGTTATGACCAAATTTTTTTCCTGCTGTCTATTTCAAGGTACTCGTACGTACTTAACATCGTATCTTTTTCGGACAAAAAAACGGTATAAGTATTACTGCGTGAAAAATCCATTTCGTAGTAACTCCTTAAAAAAAAAACACTTTTTACAGTAGAACAGTATTTCTTGAAACAGTTTTTCAATAAAAAAAGAACTCCTGGTACTATGTGTACCAGTTGTACACCCCAACACAAAATGATACGGCCTAACAAGAGCCATGTAAATCCAAATTTCTAACTTTGTACATATGTAATTGAAAAGACTCAACAAATATAATGACAATTCTCTAGTTTAAAATGTTTTCAAAATACCGTTGTGTTAGTGTTAGGGGCGCTGAATATAAATCTCGTGTCGGATTTTTAAAAATTCAAAATAGTGGATCCAAGTGGAGGAAGATCTGTTTTTTTAGTTCAACATTTTTACTCGAAACTTGATGCTCTGGGAGTTTACGGGGTTGCTGGATTAAAAACACTAAACTTCAGGCGTGTTTTTTATCGGCCATATTGGATTCGCCATTTCGAATTTTTTAAATCTAACATCAGATTCGCAATCGGTGACGTCAATCGCACTCGTGTAACAAATTTCAAAGCAATCCGATTGATTTTTAAAATATTGTCCGCCATATTAGATCCACCATTTTGAGTTCTTCAAATATAACTTCAGATTCGCAATCAGCGACCTCAAAAACCTCCGGGTAACAAGTTCCGATAAGATTTCCATTTTTGGCCACTTTTCCGAAAAATATTAAGATTTAAGTGAGCTGGACCGATTTGAAAATACCTCCAAAAATGGAGTTTTTTTATGAATAAAAATAGTTTCTTAAAGATGTTTTTTGAAAAAATCCCCTTAAATGAATAAACGGTTTAAGCTTTAAAAATTTACATAAAAATTTAAAAATAAAAATAAAAAATAATTAACGGAATCGTAATAATGAGATTTTTGATATTGTTTTTTAACTTTTTTCAAAGGTTGGTATAAGAAAAACTTGAATAACTGAACCTAAACTCTTCCGATTTAGATTTGGGGGGTATCATTGGAAAGGTATTTTCTCACCCTTTTTATTTCTTTGCTAATAAGCTCATTCAAAGGATGAAAGAGAAAGGTAGGATGAACGAACGTCATTCAAAGTTGAATTAAGATGTTTTGGTATTTGAAAAAAAATAAAAAAATTGGGACACGAATGACTTTTTTTTTGGACAGAAATAAAAATAGTGGGAGAATATCTTTCTACTGAGATCCCATAAGTCTAAATCAGAATAGTTTTGGCCCAGTTATTCAAGTAAACCAATCTTTGAAAAAAGTAAAAAAACAGCATCAAAAATCTCATTATTACCATTCCGTTGAAAAGATTTTTAAATATTTTTATG